AGACATTTAATAATTTTATGTTTTCGTAAAATGATAGATAAGACTATTTAAATAAAGACAAATATATATATATATATATTTGTAATTATTTATTGCACATGAGGTGTTTTTGGTTGCATGTTATTTTTTTGACCTTTTTTTGTGTGTGGTTGTTCATAGGCTCATATGTAAAAATAAAAAAGATACTTGAGGCACCATTTTGGCTCTCTGAAGAACTTCTAGGAACCCTAGAAGGGTCCTTAAATATATCCATATCTTTCTATATTTGCAGGTATACAACGCAAATATCTTTTTCTGTAGGCATGTCCCAGTAGCGTTGCACTGTTGTGATTAGGAGTTGTTTAAATGCTGTCCTTTTCAATGGGTGTTTCCTCACTGAAACAGATCATTGAATGGATTTCTGTCAGGTTCATCCCGCAATCGCGTTTCTTCTTAAATCTATATAGTTCCGCCTAATTCGGTGTGTTATAAAATGTGTTTCGGGGTTTTTTTGAAAGCCGAAGGAGCAGATGAATTCGGGTTCCATTTGGCTTGGTCTTCATTCTACATATTTCGATAATTATCGGGTTCACCCCGAAGCCTCATTATAGCGCTAATGAGGCGCCGCCACTCCGTGACACCCAACCGCTCCATCTCGTTAAGGAAATCGCTCTTCAATGCTGATTATTTTATTTGGAGCCATAATTATATTTCTTTCGGATAAATCACGGTCTAATCGAGTCCGTTCGGAGGGCAGAGCCTAATTGGAGCATGAGATGCGGCGGCGGGCGCGCGCGACCGGAGGAACCAGAGCACCTGATGGATTTGGGGGGAGGAGGGATTCTTCATCATCACCCCCTCCTCCTCTTCCTCCTCCTCCTCCAGCTAAAACACAACCGCTTATTACCTTTAATCCCCCCGACTGTCACCGCATCACCTGCACGAAACAAGAATCTAATTTGTTAAACTGGCATTTCTGCAGATGGACGATCGATTTTCTCTTTAGAATTCTCTAATTGAGTGAATATAGACTCTATAGTGGAACTGCATGTGCGGAGAAAGAGGGCGTTATGCTGCACGTGTGTGGGTGTGGAGCCGGTTTTGTCTGTTGTGTGGACCGAATGTCCCCCACACGGACAGCAAGACCTAAAATCACTAAAAAGGTTTTAATGGAAATCTGAAAATGCAGAAAGGTTTGTGAGAACTAGATCAGTGTATGAGAAGTCAGTGAAGCAACAAATGTGTGTATTTACGTGTCATTAGAAGTCAAATAGCCGAAAATGTACCACATAAAGTGGCTAATTTAATAAAATATTTTCCGTAAAATTAATACTTATGATAATAATATAGTTTATGTAATAAAATTCTATATTATTTATAATATATTTGATATTGAATAAAAAATTGAAGTCAGTGGGAATATAAATATGCTAAGTTTTTATTTATTTCATTTTATTATTTTTCAAATCTAGCCATATATATTATTATTATGATGATGATGATTATTATTATTATTATTATGGGGATATAGTTTTCCCAAAATAGTAAAGCTGTATTTTAATAGCAGTAGTACTCTAGTTATTGTAAATAAGTTGCTTTAACAATTACGCAATTAAATGCGATTATGCCACATTTTGGAGGCAGAATAGCTGAAAATGTGTACAGACGTTGGATAAATCTGACAAAACTTCCTTTAACCGCCCTGAAGGAAAGAGTAGTAAACACAGAAAAACTTTGTTACCACTTAATGTTTAATGCGAAAAGATGACTGAGAAGTTTTGGATGCTTTTATATGGTTGTTTTATTTTATAGTTATCAGAAAATATTTAGAAAAGTAAATCATTCCTTTGTTATAATCTATTATATCATCATATAATCTATAATAATATAACATATATTTTTTTAATATATAAAAAAAATAGTAATATAAAAATGCTTCCTTTTGTCTGTATTTATTATTGGCATTGAATTGACGCGTGAGTAAACGTGTCTGTGTGTTGGTGGAGAAGGAAAATCATGTATGTGTGGAAATGTGTCCTACATGTCAGCGCGCCATGTGGGACAGATGTGATGATGGATATGAAGGCCATGAGATGGTGAGTCAAACAAAAGGCTCTCTGAAAATCCCTCCACAATGAGGAGTGAGGGAGCAAAATCCTCTCAGCTCCAGACCGAGTTCAGAATTACATTTGTTTTTCTTGTGATTTTATTAAAAGTCACTCCTCGCCTCCAGAGCGCGTGAACATGTCTACTTTCCACTCAGATGCGCCGCATTAACTTGCAGGGCGCGCCCTGCGCGCAAAGGACTTATAAAATACCTTTTATCTTAGAAAATGAGTAAATATTATAAATGTGTTGTTACTACTACTACTACTATTGTTATTATTATTATTATAAAGACATTAAATATTATGTATATTAAAGTTAGAAAAAAATAGTATTACTGTTATAACTGTTAAATGTTTTGCGAGGTTAGTGCATTGTGTAGTAAACGTATGTTTGTTTTAACTTCACATTAATTTATCCATAGATAATAATATGCATAGACTTGTTATTAAAGACGTTACATATTATATCTATTAAAGTTATAATATGGTATTATTACTGTTTTAACTGTTTGTTTTAACTTCACACTCATTTATCCATAGGAGCATTTGCCAAATGTTTTGAACATCTTTGAATTTATCATTTGATTTTATAGTTTTTAGTGCATTAAATCTGTTTTTTTGAAGGAAAACGTGGAAAAATTACTTTCAGTTATTTGGGAAAAATCTCTGATTCGATGTTGTCCTAATTGTTTGGTGATACAATTACAAATGTTATTAGTGGTTATATATTATATATTTACATTATTAGTTGTGTTTTGTGTGCATGTTGTGTACACCATACAGTAAATATTATTATTATTTCCATTATTAATTGCTAAATTACAGTACTGTGTAGTCGTGGTACTGCTGGTCGTACAAGGTTTTTTTTTAATTTTTTTTTTTATATATGTATACTGTATATGTGTGTGTGTGTGTGTGTGTGTGTGTGTGTGTTGATTCCTGAACTTTAGCTGTGATCACCACCTTCTGCTGCAGCTCAGAGGACCTAGATATTATTATTATTTTTTTCATTACTGGTGAGGTCAGGAAACAGTTGTGTATCCCCCTCAAATGCATTTAATAAAATGTTTTGCTTCGCTTCGCCTTTCACAAATAAAGCTTGAAATCCCCTTGCTGGATGCAGGCCGGGTATTGGTGTACAGAAATTCAATCTGTACATTTTGTACATTGAGGTAAACCGACGGAATGAATTGCATTAGAGCAAGCCAATGTATTTCCAGCCAGCCAGTTTTCAGCCCTTGCTCCGTTTGTGTGCAACAATCTAAAACTTATTTATTAAAGAAGGGGAAAAAACACTTAATCCTATGCACACAAAAAAACCCTCTTACAGCCGAATAAAGACAAAAGCAAGCAGTAAGAGGATAGAAGAATGTTAATTGAGGGTCACAGCTTGCACACTATATTTGTTCATATTTTATGAAGTGCACGGCAGCCCTTCACTCATATGTCCCCTGAAAGCATCGTTAGGCGTCTGTCGCACTTTTAGTCCGTTAAATATGACCGTGTGCCTCCAGAAGAGTGATTCACTTCTGTTTGTGCAGCTATAAAAGGATCGAGCAATATGAAAAGTCGTAAAATGAAGCGCGCTATCAATCACGCAGAACAATGTAATGATTTCAAATGATCGTTATTGTTGATGCAGCTGATTTTTTCTTGCTATGATACACGAGGAAAAATGCAATTGTGAACAGCGAATAGTAAAAGTGTTCGTTCATGCATGTGAATAATTTCCGTCTTAAAATTATCCGAATCGTACACTCTTAAAAAAAAAATAAAGGTTGCTCTTAGAACCTGAAATTGTCATTGGAGAAGATGATTTTCGAATCTGTAAACGAATGGATCTTAAAAGTCTATAATTCTCGTTTGATGTCTCCAAAGAAGCATATAAACAGCTCTAGTTGGAGTTGTTTGAATAGAACAAGCGAAGAACCTTTATTTTTAAGCGTGTAGAATAAAAGGATTACAACTCCAGCAAGAGAAAACAACACAACCGCGTTCGATTTATATTTACGTCTCTGGTTTAAAGCCACATCCACATCCCAATTCAAAAAGCCCCAGTCTATTTCCTGGCCAAAAGCAAACTGTGAGATGAACACAAACCCGAGATCTTCCATTACGCGCCCGGTGCCTCGTTCGCCTTCTCTGACATTTCGGATATCAAAACGCAGCGCAAGAACAATTGTTTCCAAATTGAATCCGCACTCTCTTGCTTTCCTCATTTTCAGCGAGGCATATACGTTTCCCCGGCGAGTCAAGAGTCGCATCTGACCCGGCGTCTGGAAGCGAGCGCTCTTGTTCTTACCAGCAGATTGGTGGCTTGTCAAAAAAGCGTTGAAAGTTTGTCGCTCGGACGCGTCCTTTGTGCGCGCTGAAAAGACACCATTCACTCTTGCAAATAAAGGAGTTCTTCAAACCATCCCACTGACATCTGCTTAGAGTCTTGTTTGCGCTGGTTGTCTGATATTTTTCACCGGCTCCGTGTGTGACAAAAGCTATTGTGTTAATTGGTGTAAATGCAAGTTCGTTTATGGGTGTTTAGACGGGCTGCACTGGCACTCGAGTGATCTTTGCATGAAATAAATCAAGTTAATTTAGGGCAATTGGATGAAAAATCAATGCAACGAATACAATTTGTCAGCGTAGAGTGTTTAAAGTCTAAATGTATCTATTTTGGTGCGAAAGTCCTCGCACTCCCCCTTTGCTTTGGTGGGGGTTTCCCTGTGTCTGCGCGCATCAGCCCTGGAAGCACATTTCTGACTCTGACTTTCCACCGAATTATGCACCTAATTTGCTCACATATCATTTACTCCAAGTTCCTCCCGCCGTGACAGTCGGGCCTAAACACTACTAAATCAGCCCTAATTTATACTGATCTCGCTAATAATCGTAATAAAAAGCTTATAGATTTGGCACTAATTACATAAAAGCCTAATGATGTTGAAAATTACCCTGGTTTGAGATATAGGGCTAATCTAAACTTTGTTGTTGGCTGCCCCGGGGTACTAGAAACATTAGAAGAGGTTCACTTCGTCTCCAAAAGGCGAGAGTTGGACATGGCACGACACGAAGGCCTTTTTTCCACGAGGAAACGCGAAATGATCACTAACGATTAAGTGACAAAAATGGAAAATCTCGGGGAACGTTATAATTAAAACGCGAAACTTTTTTTTTTGGAACTAATGGACGCGCATAAAAACCAAGCAAATGAGTCCATATCATAAAGAGAGCACTGTTTGATCGTTTAGTCCAGTAATAAACTTCGGGAAGCCATTACTAAACCATATGGCTTTGATAAGGATGACACGTTTATATAACAATACTTTAATTCTCTGTTTCTCCTCAAATAATCAGGGCCCCATCAATGATTCTGGCATCACGCTCAATTAAACCAGTTCTGAGGGAGTTTCTCGAAGAGCTTTCTGAAGGAGGTCATTTTAAAGGTTATAATTTGGGGATCAAAAAACGAGGAGAAATGAACTTGGGAGGGCAGCAAGAGAGTCTCTCGCGCATCTGACACCTCCAGGCTTCAACGCTGATTGGCTCTCATTTGAAGGAGCTCATGGGTTCATTCAACTATTAAGCGCCTCCCAGTTCCTCTAAAGGACATTATAATGCAAGGGACCTCCTTTTTTAACCACAAACCGAATTTGCTTTCATTTAGGCCATATATATTTTTTAAATAGTTTAAAGTCATAGAGATTTTTTTGGGAAAGCATTTCGCCCTGGAGCGGTGCGCGATGCTTTCGCACGCCGACCTGCTGGATGCTCGCCTCGGTGAGTTATCAACGCCAAACTCCGGTCTGCAACTCTACTGTAAGCTGGAGCACTCTTCTCATCTAATTCAAGCAGAGAGAATTGACAATTTGTCTCTTATTTTATCTTAATTCGATTTAAGCGAGCTAATTCATTGGAAAAGTAATCATTATTATTATATTACGCAGTAATTTGATTTAGTCGTTTTCCAAGATATTGAGGGGAATCGAATGGAATTAGATTTTTTTTTAAAAGATGACATTGTTGTGAGCTAGTTTTTCACCATTATTTGCATTTTATGGCTGTAATGACAAATAGCAAATTGTAGTTTTTGCATACGAATTGTGCTTGCTGTGACAGTCTAGAAAAAGTATTTTCTGCACTAATACTTCTCTCTTTTTCAGCAATGCTTGGTGTTGATTTTGAGCTCACTCAGCTTTGACCTGTTTTCTCTGCTTCAGGGATGAAGGATGCCGCGGCCGAGCTTCTGGGTCACAGGGAGGCATTGAAATGCAGGCTGGGCGGCGGCGGAACTGACCCGGGCCACCCCGGAGAACTCGCCCCGGTCTCCGATGCAGTGGAAGGGGCCACCCTTCTCCCCGGAGACGATATCAACAGTGCTGGATCCAATCCGCCGGGTGTAGCGGTGAACAGTAAGGATCAGGAGAAGCAACAGCAGCAGCAACAGAACCCCAGCCAGTCCGGCGGCCCGCAGGAGCTGGAACGCAGCTTCGCCAAAACTCACTATCCGGACATCTTCATGCGCGAGGAGCTCGCCCTCCGGATCGCCCTGACGGAATCACGAGTGCAGGTGAGTCCGGTGGAGTCTGATCAGCACAGGTTTCGGATTGTTTCATTAATATTATTATTGCTGTATCGTCATTTACATTGTATTAATTCTGTACAATATATATATATATATATATATATATATATATATGATATTTTCATAAAATATTATGCGTTGTTGTAGGCTGAAATTATTATGTTTGAAATGAAAAAGAGAAATCGATACATCTAAAGCACTAGATAATTATTATTATTATTACTCGGATTATATTTTCTATAAAATGCATTCCCAAAGAATATTTAGGTAGATAATTTAGCTAGATATTTATTATAAAGGTTCCTCCCCCCGCCCCAAATACTAATGTTGATTATTAAAAATACGAAGTCTAAGAGATAACGAAATGAAAACGCTTTATATTTTAATTTGAAGAAGACCAGCCTATTTTTATTATAAAGAGAATTCGCATTTCTGTTTGTTTGCATGAGTTTGTCGATAGAACATTAGCACAAAAATCCTTGCCTAAAAATACTATAATAGTTTATGAAAACGCTCTTAAATGTGATGAAAACATCTCCGAACGAGCTCTGTCGTCAATAAAACAATGAAAATAAATTAATTATAGCCTAAATAATGTCTACAAAACTGTTACATTCATATTAATATTCAGTGTAAACATCCATGGTGTTTTAAATGAGACACCATGTCCTGTTTATTATTTTTTATTATTAGTAGCATATTTTCTCAATTTGTTTCATAGTTTAAAATAACACAACAGTATATGTATCCCAATCTCACGAATCTCTTGCTTTATTATTGTAAAATTGTGTTTATTGCCTCCGTAAAGCTTTAAGCACTACCATCATATAGGTTTTATTTATTTTGTTTTAGTGTTATAATTAGTATTATTGTTATTGCTGTTACAGATTTCTAGGCCTATTTGTATTCAGGTTATGTTTCTATAGCAATGTTCTTGGCTCTTGAAAGTGCGCCCATTTAAACGCAGCGCGCTTTTCATGATTATTTTATTGTTCAGGTCATCTTCCTTTTACAATACCATTATTGGTTATCTTAGCCATTGGAGCAGACCGATATCTTAATCGCTTTTATAAGATGATGACTCTTGCGGCTGCTGTGATTGGTGGTCAGGCGCAAATGCAGCGGTAAATGAACCCGCGAGACAAATGTAGGACGCAACGAGCTCGCGCGGCATTCCAGCGCTATCTCTGTGATCTATAGAGGCTCATTATAAATGTATAGCTTTTGAGTTGATAGTGCAATAAAACCAAGACCATTATTATTAACCAATTTCAGAATTATTTATAACTTAACAGGCTTATTAAGCTCAATGCGTAAGACTATTCTGCGTAAAATAATAACCATCATAATGAGCAGGCTTGAGACTCTGTCCGAACCATTTTATTTACATAAAAAAATAAATGAGTGACATGCTGACCGCGCGGTGATCTTCTGCAACAGCACACTAGGTTTGTTGCATGAATGTTTCGCGCTCTCATGAAATAGGTCTGTCAGTGTGCACGACTTAATGGCGAGTCTTTTTTAATGGTATGAGAAATTGCATTTTTTTTATCCTCTGAAGTGTAATGCATTTGAGGCCGGATTTCACGGCTGGCTGCGTGGAGTGGGATTCGGGGATCTAATATGAACCCCTCCACATTTTTTCTCCCCTTTTCGTTAGGTCAAAATCTGCTCGTTAATCATTGTGAGCGCGCCTGATATCTCTATAAACCTGAAGGACCTCGGGAAATAAACACCGTGTGAGCCTTTTACGGCCCAGTGTGGGCCTTTTTATGCCCTGGTGTTGTAAAATCGAGCACATAATAATGCGGAGTCTAAATATTATGATTCCTTATTTAAAACAGCATTATTAGCGCCATTTTGTGATGTCGAGACGTTTATCAAGGAAAGAAGCAAAAGAAAAACAAACAAAATATTAAAATAAAAACAATGTTAGCTATACAGACAAAAGTGGTAACCTGCAATCTCTATTTCTAACTAATTTAGTTTTGTTTGTACACTGAAAAAATAGCGTAGGAACAATCGTCACTGAGAAATTGCTAGTAAATTTCACTATTAATTACAAAGAAACGCCAAGTACACATTGAATAAAACATGCTAATTTAAAATCGAAAAAACAAAATAGTATTTTCTTGTAAACCTTACTCCAATAATCAGTTCTAACCCTACAGTGTACATTATTTAGGTTGATTCAGTGATGTTAAATAATATTTTTGAACTTGAATGAAACTAGTTAATTGAGATGTTACCAATTGTGTTACTATTTTTTCAGTGTAGTTTTTAAAAATGTATTTTGATGTCACTAATAGCATGCAAACAAACAAATAATGCATCAGAATAATATTTTTTTCCCTGCCGTGTTAAGTGTAGGTTATTTTTGTGCAGCTTATCTTTTTGTGCATCTATATTTTTTGTGCAACATAGATTTTTGTGTATCTGTATTTCTTTAGAAATATAACAAAGAAACCAAAACATTGGTTCTTAAGAATCTGTAATGTGACATCAAGAAAGTGTGGGTCTTGTTTAAACACGCACACACGTTTGTTTTACTATACTTGTGAGGACTTTCATAGACTTCTATTGTTTTTATACTGACCTATCAATATTTTCTATCCCCTCACCCTAACTCTACCCCTATCCCTCACAGAAACCTTTTTGCATTTTTACATTTTAAGATAAACTTAATTTAGCAAAAATTAAGCAAATTAGCAAAACAACGCCCCCCCCCCCCCC